CTAGCTACCTAGCTAGCTAGCTAGCTAGCTGGCTGGCTGTGCGGCTAGCTAGCTGGCGAGGTAGCGAGGTAGCGAGTTAGCGAGGTAGCGAGATAGCGAGCGAGATGACGAGATAGCGAGATAGCTGGCCAGATAGCTAGCTGGGTAGCCCGGTAGCTAGCTAGCCAGATAGCTAGCTAGCCAACTGGCCAGACAGCTAACTAGCCATGTAGCTATCCAGATCGCCATCTAGCTAGCCAGGAGGGTAACCGGCTAGCTGGGCAGGTGGCTAGCTAGCTAGCTAGCTGCAAAGGGTGCTAGGTAGACACACTTTAGCCGGCTTCGGGGTGAGTGGGCGCGAGGTGGGGGTTTAGGGTTTAGGGTTTAGGGTTTAGGGTTTGCTCTTCAGGGTTTGCACAGAAGGCGTTCTGCCCGCGCATGGCTGCAATGAATAAGCCCACGTTTGACGCAATCTTGACGCATGCAGTGGAGTCCTGCAGCAGCAGCAGCAGCAGCAGCAGCAGCTTCGTGCCTGGGGAGCATCAGGGAGTGTACAGCACGGTGTCTCCATCTGCTGCAGCAGCTGCAGCCGGAGGCGCTGCAGGGGCGTCGGGGGGCGCTGCTGCTGCTGCGCCGGCAGCAGCGGACCCCGCAGCAGCAGCAGCAGCAACAGCAGCAGCAGCAGCAGCAGCAGCAACGCGGCTGCGGCCTGTGCTGGTCTTCGTGGCTTCGCGAAGACAAACTCGACTAACAGCTCGAGAGCTCATCGCGCTGCAGCACATGAGCGACAGCGGCATTTCTTTTCTTTGTTTGAAGACGCAGCAGCAGCAGACTGCCTACGCCAACGCCCTCAAAAAAGTCAAGGTGACAAACCCTAAACCCTAAACCCTAAACCCTCCGCGGCCCAGCGGCCCCACGCCCCCTGCGCCCGCAGCGAGCGCCTGCGCTCCCAACGCTCGCGGGCCTAGGCTTGCTGCTCTATTGCCAGTTGCTTCTGTCCCAGGGTTTAGGGTTTAGGGTTTAGGGTTTAGGGTTTAGAGTTTAGGGTTTAGGGTTTGGGGTGAAGGCTTCGGGCTATGGTCTCCAGGGTTTCCGGCTGGGAGGGGAGGGTTGCGGGCTGGGGCTCCTGGTCCGGGCGAGGGTTGAGGGTTGAGGGTTTAGGGTTTAGGGTTTGGGGTTTGGGTGTGGGGCGCGGCTGCGTCAGGACCCCACACTGCGTTCGGTGCTGCTGCACGGGGTGTCTATACACCACGCGGGCCTCAGCCCCTCCGACCGCGAGGTGTCTGCGCAGCTCTTCTCTT